AACTGATGGCAACATAGCAAAGGGTTGCAGAAGCTGGTCTGGCGGGCTCCTGTTGGTCAGACACTTTTGCATATTAAAACAAACAATGGTAGGAACATGGTATAGATGAACAAAATAGGGATTCATATATTCAATAGAATATATACTTGCAGTACTTATGTGTTTTGAAGTGTTTCCCTAAGAAATAATAAGGGAAAAGAAGAAAGTGAACAGCATAAAAAATGAAAAAAAAAATCAGTAGTTCTATAGAAGATGAATAAAAGGCAGCAAAGTTTAGATGCCAATGTTACTGTCATTGTTTTACAGTCACAGTTTGGTAAGAACCGTGGACATTTGGGTTAACAGTGTATTATATCATGTAGGTTCATCCTCACAACAATCCTGAAATACAAGCATTATTACACAGAATCAAAGTGGTGAGATTTGGAGAGGTTAAATAATTTGCTACAATCAGAGAATGGTAGACCTGATTTCAAATGTATTACCTTAGAGGATCAATATAGAGTGCTTGCTTTATGCTTTCCCTGTTTAGAATAGCTGAAATCCTCTTAGGTCATCAAATTAATTCCAAGGTGACTACTCAAATCTGCCCGATCATTTGTAACACATTTGTATATAAAAATCCATAGGCAAGCTGGATGTGATGCCTGTAAATCCAGCATGCTGGGAGGCTGAGGCAGGAGGATGGCAAGTTTGAGAACAGTCAGCACAACATAGCAATTTAGTGAAGTCTTAAACTCTGAAAAAGGGTAGCAGAACTCTCCAGTATTTTCAAACTCTGAAAAAGGATATGACTCACTGTGAAGGCCCTCAGTTCAGTCTTTACTATCACACATACATACACAAATATTTTTGCCTATGCATAGAAAATTTGCATTATGGAACTGGTTATATTGAGAAATTAACTATTTTTGATTGTCTGATGTTACATATTTTGGGGGTTTTAGTTTTTAGAGAGAAATTAATAGTTTTTATTTAATTTAATTTTTTAATTTTAAAGATAATAAAATACAACAGAACAAGACAGAACAAAGCTCATCAAGACAATGCAGTGAAATTGGTACAGACCCTCAAAGCAGGATACTAGGATAACAGTAATAGCTACCGTAGTATATCTCTTTATCTTCACAATAATTGTCCATTCCATCGGGTATAGCACAATCAAACCAAAACAGAACACTGTAAAACTAATCAAAACAGAATATTGAACAGAGCAAAATAATCAGAACAAAGCAAAACAGTGAAAATAATATTGTTCTTCAAAGACAAGATAGAAGGAAATCCCCCGTGTTGGCTGTATTGCATACTGTCATCCTCCCAAGAGATGCCCAGACCTCTGGCTCCAGGTCAGAATAATCAACCCAACAATACAAGCATTTAGTTGCTTTATGTCCCTTAGTTGCTATCAACTCTGGCTGACCTCGAAACCATGGATGTTGAGGGGTAGGGGCGTGGGTCATTTGATTCTCAGCCCACGCACTGTAGGCTCACAGGAGACGCTGACTTGTTCTCTTCCTGGTGTGCCCACAGCTCGCTTGCCAGAAATGAATAGTTTTTAGAGAGAAATATTTGAAACGTTACTGCTTTCCTATAAAATTTAGAAATCTGAAAGCAGGCACTTTAGTCTCCAGTGTTCACTTGAATTGCTTTCTTTTTCCCATCAGTATATTCAAACCTTTTAATTTTACTTCCTCTCTTCTTTTCAAAGAAGGCAAAGAAATCAAGCAGATGGGGTAATCTGATGAGATTGGGGGACCTAAACCGGTACACTATCTGTTGGCTTCCTTAGACTTTGACTTAGACGTAGACTTCCAAGACTTAGACTGTTTGCCAGAACAACTCAGCCTCCAACTGGAGAGGAGAAGGGAAATCTGTGCATCAGAGAGGACGTATAGGGGTTAAGGTTATAGCTCAGCAGCACAGCCCCTGCTGGCAGGTGCAGAATCCTGAGTTCGAGCCTCGGTACCCATAAACAAAACAAAACAACAAACTAGAGACAGGAGGTGATAGTTAGGGGCTGGCTTGGCCATTTTCTCTTTTCAGCTTCTCAGTCAAGGGAGCAGGGGAGCTGGTGGACACGCCCATGGTTGGGGAGCTTTGCTTACAAACGAAGTGTTAGAAATGAAGAAATCATTCCCAGCACAGAATCCAGCTTAATCAGTCATTCAACCAATCAATCCAAAATGTTAGACCTGGCGCTAACCAAGGCTGGGCTGTCCTCTTCACAGAAGGAGAATGGCAGGCCATCCACTCACCTTGATAACAACGTCTGAGCCTCTGGTTTGATTCTAGGACTATTGAAGGGCATGCAGAATTTTTCCTCGATAAATGCTGAAATAAGCCAGAAAGTACAATTTTGAATGCTCTCTGCTTCCAAATATAAGCAAATTGATTCTTTATGCTATTTTCCACACATATTATCCAGATGAATTTAAAAATGTAGCTTAAAAAATAATGAGGTCCAATGGGATGATCCACGCTTGATTTAGGCTAGAATCTGATCTCTTATGATTACTGTCCACCAACCATTCTAAACAATGTCAGTTATTTAAAATGCTCCTCTTCAGAGCCTCTATTTGTCACTTATCAGAAGTTCTGCAGTAAATTGAATTTTGCCATAAAATGCTCCAAAATGAAGTGCATAATAAAATAATAAAATACCTGTAACATACATATTCTCCACATTTGAAAAAGCCTCCCCCTATTATCAAATTCCTAGTGAGAAATTAAGGTCTAAAGATCTCAACTTCTCACAAGCTATAGTCAAAAGGGATCAAAGTCCTAGGTAACTGAGTCCCACTAGTAATTTAAATTATTCTGTTTCGTGCATTAAGTATCTAAAGAAATAAAGTACTCTCCCAATTTCCCTTTCTGCTCAGTCCTTGTGAGAAAAGAAAGTGAGCTCTTTTGGCAGCTACAGTCCAGGATGTCTCTTCATGGCTGGAGTGTGGGTCCTTTGAGGACTTCAGAATTGTTTTGGATTAAAAACATTGGTGCTGCACCTTAATGTGATGCACATATTTGTCAGTACTAGTTACCTTCTCCAAATTTAAAAAAGGGAAACAATTCGCAGGCCCTTAAGTTATCATAAAGACACGCGTTTTCCAAGAACTCCATAGTTTATGTTACAAAATACTCCGAAGTTCCCGATTGGAAGACAGAAAGAGCAAGCCTTCTCAGTTTCAGCTTCATTAGGACAATAGAAGCTTGCTGTCCAAGGCCCCTGAATCCTCTCAACAATGCACACTGTGAGTCAAAGCTGAGCAGTTGGTTGAATAAACAACTGAAACTTATTCTCTGACAGTTTTGGAGACCAGAAATTTGACCTCAGCTTCAGTGAGACATGTTCTCTCCAAAGGCTCTACGGGAACTTCCTTTTCCAGTTTCTGATGGCTGCTGTTTCTTGCCTTGTGGTCACACTGCTGCAGTCTCTGTATCCCCAGACTCACTGACTTGCCCTCTTCTGTGTCAAATGTTCCCTGGTCTCTCTCTTACAAAGACACTTAGAATTGGATTTAGGGTTCATGTGCATAGTCCAAGATTATCTCTTCATCTCAAGAGCCTTAATTTAATCTTTGCAAATACCCTTTTTCCAAATCAGGCAATTTACATAGTTTCAAGGGATTAGGATGTAGGTATATCTTTAAGGAGTCACAAGTTTTTGGATCTTTTGGAGAAATACAAGCAGTAGCATATACCATTACTGTCTTAGCTACTTTTTACTCGTTGCTGAGACAAAATACCTGAAGCCCAAGTTGGAAAAGGAAAGGTTTATTTCTTACAGTTTTTGGAGGTTTGAGTCCACACTCAGTTGGCTCCAAGGCAGGCGGGCATGGCAGGGCCGCAAACAGCAAACAGGAACCAGCAAAGAGCAAGACACACTTTCTTCCTACCATTACATCACATCCTGGCTCCACCCCTTTGTGGGTGGAGCACTGACACCATCAATCTAAGCACTAGACAATGAACCAATCACAAATGCACAATTTAAACTCATGAGGCCTGGGGGCCACAGACATAAACCATGACAATTACTTTACTGTATTTTGTATTTTAGACTGTTGAACTAATTGTATTCTCTTCCTCATCTCTTGCTATTTTAGTTTATTATAGTTAACTTTACAAATTAATTCTTAGGTTACAGGATATTGAATTGAACATGGGATCAGGACAAAACCAGAGGAGAATGGACATTATTCAGAGATCCTAGTCTTAAAATGGAAACTATAAATTTAGAATGAAGCTTTTATTTGACTACTTTTTAAATATTATCACAAAGAGCAGTCATATCTTTAATTGCACAAGGGGTTGTTGGTTGCATTATGTTATGCAAGACAGTTTTTTTAGACGAGTATTAGCTGGGCGTGGTGGTCATATCTCAAGTCCCAGCACCCAGAGTTTGGTATAGGACCTTCAAGAGTGCAAGGTCAGTCTCATCACATAGCAAGACCTTGTTTTTTAAAAAAGAAGTATAAGAATAGAAAGAGATAAATACTGATGTAGGTGAAATCGACAAATAGATTCTTTTGAATGTTTCTATCCTTCGTTGATGCCTGCCCTCTGAACTTTTATCCTATGTTTAGGTGATGCCCTACCTTGTAAGACAGAACTGGATTCAGTATTTGGGGGGGGAGTACTAAGGATTGAACTCACTACCTCATGCTTGCCAGGCAGGCACTTAGGCCACTGAGTTAAATCCCAGGTCCCAGGTTCAGTATTAATTTGAAAATGTCAAGCATTTTCATGCTCCTAAGGGCCCTGTCAGCATATCCCAACTTTGAATGAGCATTAGTGAGAGGAAGACTGACCCACCCTCTGGTGAGTCTGCAGGTATGCCTACAGCTCTGCAGCTTCCAGTGGTAGACAGGATCCAGCATCCATCATTGGGTCTGGCAATGAAAGTTGTTGATATGCCCAATCATCAACAGTAGCATTCTATAGGACATAGAACAATATATTTAGGGTATTTTGGGTTTTGGGCTGTTGTGGCCACTTGTTGGGAGCCTGGCCGAGTGATATGAGGCCTGTGGTGAGGAGTGAAGCCTGAGCTAGATTGCCCCTCCCGTCGACCGAGTGATATGAGGCCTGTGGTGAGGAGTGAAGCCTGAGCTAGATTGCCCCTCCCGTCGACCGAGTGATATGAGGCCTGTGGTGAGGAGTGAAGCCTGAGCTAGATTACCCCTCCCATCGAGTATGCCAAGATGGCGCCCATTTCCTGCTCCCTAGCTAGTAAACAACACGCCCTGTAAGCTAGTCTGCCCAGCAACAGCTGACGCTGGCCAATCAGCTCGTCTTGCCTACTTTGATGTGATTGGTCGAGGTGTCCATATATATGCTGACACCACCCCTGGGGCGAGAACACACACACACACCAAGAAGAGGGACTGCTGAGAGAAGCACACAAGGAGCCGTAGGGAACGGACCAGAGGAGGCTTCCCTCAGGCGGGATCCGAGATCCCGGAACAGGGCGTACGGAGAGAGAAAATAAACCAGAGGCTATCCGCCGACTACTCGTGTCGTGTGTTTTTTCCTGCCGGCCGGGAACGACACCGACATTTGGTGGCCCGTACGGGGAACTGATCACCCCCGAGACGAGGCGGACGACGCTCCAGTATTGCTCTGCAGGACAGGTGAGTAGGGGATAAACCTGGGCTCTGGGTGGCGCGCACCTACAGGGCTTTTTAGACTCCCCTCAAGCTCACGTGTATGTGGCAGGTTAGCCTCACACGGTGAGAACGGACTCCTCAGTGACAGGCATGGGCAACTTACCCACTAAGAGTTCCAAGTCACTGGTAAGAGCGGTGAAAGACCTGCTCAAGATTTCAGGTATATCAATGAGCTCCAAGACACTTACGGAGTTTCTCCAACAAGTAGATGAGGCGGCACCCTGGTTCCTGCCGACGGGGCACTTGTCCCTACCTTGCTGGGAGAAATTAGGTAAGGATTTAGAAAGAGCAGAAGAGGAGCGCCGACTCCCACTTTCGGTTCGGCCGCTCTGGGAGATGATTCATTCATGCCTCAAAGGGGAGAGGAATGGGGCTAAGGATAGCGCAGATGGGCTCTCTCAGGCCCGCCGAGCTTTTGAAGGGGCCCGTTCGGAGTCCTCCCGAGAGGGGTCCGTCGCAGGGAGCGTGCGGAGGCGCTCGCGAGAGCGAGGCAAGAAAGAGGTACCCCCTGCCTCGGATTCCTCGGGCTCAGATACCTCGGAAGGCGAGGACAATGAGGCAAGTGACCCCCCTAATCCCTTTGCAGCTTTACGTAGAGACCTAGTCAAGATGCAGACAGACCTAGAGAAGGGAAGGAAACTCCTGAGCACTCCCCAACGGAAAGCCGTAGAGCCTTCCGCGCCACCCTGGGAGGTCCCAAACACCGGTTCCTGTGGTGAGATGGCGGCCTGGGGCCTTCCTCCGTCACCCCCCCCATGGAGGGAGTGGCCTGGACCGTTGTCACATGTAGGGCCACCATCTTGTCTGCCTGGCGACCCGCCATCTTGTGCCCCAAAGACTGGTCGGCCATGTTACAAAGAGATACAATTTTGTGATAGGGAGGGACAGACATCTCATGGGGAGGCACCACCCTGTGAAAAAATGCCAAGGTCCCAGGGAAGGTATTTTCGTAGATGGACATTTAGAATGGAACAGATTCCTCAAGGGGCGAATGAGTATGAACAATGTGGGCTTTATCCGGTGCTCCTGGCGCAAGGCCAAGGACCCAATTACTGGGAACCACTGGAGATCAAGCAAATTAAGGAGCTTAAAAATGCGGTTGCCACATTTGGCCCTACTGCTCCTTACACTATAACTATGTTGGAGAATTTGTCTGCCGGTGGCTTTCTGACGCCCAGTGATTGGACCCAACTGGCTAAAGCCTGCCTGGCCCCCGGGGCTTTTCTGGATTGGCGCGCCTGGTATACTGAGTTTGCCGCCGAACAGGCTGAAAAAAATGCGGCTAGGGGCCATAGGGGGCAAAATGAGGATATGCTTATGGGTAAGGGTCAGTACGCTCAAGATCAAACTAGATTCCCTCCAAATGTGTATGAACAGATACATAACATAGGCATCCGCGCCTGGAAGCAGGTAAACAACACAGGGGTGGCCTCACAATGCCTCTCTAAAATTGTTCAGGGCAACACAGAACCTTTTGTGGATTTTGTGGCCAGAATGCAGGAGGCAGCTGACAGACTCTTTTCAGATCCGAGTGCTGCTGCTCCTCTTATTAAACAGTTAATCTTCGAACAGTGCACCAAGGACTGCAGGGCAGCCATAGCACCCCATAAAGGTAAAAACATAGAGGCTTGGATTAAAATTTGTAGAGAAATAGGGGGGCCATTATCCAACTCAGGCGTGGCTGCCCTTTTAGCCGCCGCCTTACAACAGACAGGGCCTCAGAAGACCAATCACCCTGGTAAGCCCAGGGGATGTTTCCAGTGTGGGGATCCCAGCCATATAAGGAAAAACTGCCCCAAGACCGGACAGGGGGAGTTTATATCCAAGAGACAGGAATCAGACAGACGAACGGGAACCTGCGAAAGGTGCGGTAAAGGTTCTCACAAAGCAAAAGATTGCAGATCTATTTTTGATGCCCAGGGGAACCGTATTAGTGGCAGGGAGACTACGGAGCCAAAAAACGGCCAGAGGGGGCCCTCCTTACGGACGGGCCCCCACTCCCTAGACAGGACAACACAAGATGGCACCCCCCCACAGGGGCCACCCCCGGGCCAGCAGGCGTGGACCTCTGTGTCGCCTCCAGACTCCTATTAACACCCGATATGGGCGTTCAGGTGGTTGAAACCACCTCCAAAGGACCACTACCCGACAAGCTAGTTGGTTTAGTGATTGGACAGTCCTCCACAGCCCTCCGGGGCCTTACCGTGATCCCTGGAGTTGTAGACCCAGATTATTTAGGAAACATCAAAATCATGGTACAATCTCATATAGGGACCATAGTAATTAATGAAGGGGATAAGATAGCACAACTTTTACTGTTCCCCAGTCTCCATGAGAGACCCCGGTCCGGTCAACGGGTTAGAGGGGGTCAGGGACTTGGCTCCTCTAAGGAAATTTTTGAAGGACTTCATATGACTCTTGATAAAAGGCCCATGCTATCGCTCAGGATTAACGGAAAAAAGATAACAGGACTCCTAGATACAGGGGCAGACCGTTCCATCGTCTCCAAGAAAGACTGGCCTCCTAGTTGGCCTACCAACACAGCTGACAACACACTCCAAGGATTGGGGATAGTGGCTGCCCCCCAGGTTAGTGCCGTGACCCTGCCTTGGGGTGATGAGGAAGGTCACCGAGGACATTTTCAGCCTTTTGTTTTGCAGCTGCCAGTATCCTTGTGGGGAAGAGACGTTCTCACCCAGATGGATGTCACTCTTACATCCACCTGCTCTCCCCAAGCCAAAGGGATACTCAAAAATCAGGGATATGTCCCCGGCAAGGGCCTGGGCGCAGCCCTGCAGGGCCGGACATCCCCCGTACCTGTAGAAAAAAGGGAAGGTAGACACGGGTTGGGTTTTTCCTAGGGGTCACTGAGAAACTTCTCCTGCCCGCTCCAATTAAGATTACCTGAAAATCTCAAAATCCAGTTTGGGTGCCTCAGTGGCCCTTACCCAAGGAGAAGCTTTTAGCATTAACTGAGATAGTCAAAACCCAGTTTCAGGCGGGACACGTAAAGCCGTCAACCTCCCCTTAGAATACCCCTGTCTTTGTTATCAGGAAGAAATCAGGCAAGTGGAGGCTGCTCCATGATCTGAGGGCTGTCAACTCACAGATGCAGCCCCTGGGGGCGATCCAGAGGGGACTACCAGCCCTCTCAGCCATCCCTCGGTCCTGGTCAGTCTATGCCATAGATCTTAGAGACTGTTTTTTCTCAATCCCCCTGCATCCAGAGGACACCCACAGATTCGCCTTTACCCTACCCACCATTAACCAAGAGAGTCCTGATCAGAGGTACGAGTGGGTTACATTACCCCAGGGTATGGCCAACAGTCCCACCATGTGTCAGATGTATCTTGATTTTCTACTGGCCCCCTTGCGTGAAGCCTTCCCCAGAATTAGATGTATTCATTACATGGATGATTTGCTAATCAGTGCAAAAGATGTGACTGAGTTGGAGGATATGCTTGGCCAATTGGTCAGGGCCCTGAGAAAGGCAAATTTACATATTGCCCCTGACAAGATTCAGGGAGGAGACATAGTGACCTACCTGGGCACCAAAGTCTCCCCCACATCGATTTCTCCACAAAAGGTAACCATCAGAACAGATAGCCTAAGGACCTTAAATGACATGCAAAAGCTACTGGGAGATATAAACTGGATCAGACCTTATTTACACATCCCTAACTCGGACTTAAAGCCCCTGTTCGACCTCCTGAAAGGAGACCCGGATATTGCCTCCCCCAGGGAGTTCACCCCGGAAGCCAGAGTTGCTCTGAGAAAGATAGAGGAAGCCCTAAGTACAGCTGCATTGCGGAGAATTGACTCAGAACAGCCTTTTGAGGTCTGCTTGTTGCAGACCGTTTCTCAACCTACGGCAGTGATTTGGCAAAAGGGACCACTTTTGTGGGTGCACCCTAAGGTCTCACCTGCCAAGATTATCGAACATTATCCGGAAACGGTCGCTTCCCTGGCCTTGGAGGCACATGGCAGGGCTATCCAACATTTTGGCTCTGCACCCCATGCTATTCGGGTACCCTATACCGCTTCTCAAATAAAAATCCTGACTGCTTGTATAGATACGTGGGCCATCCTGAGATGTGTTTTTCTTGGGGAGATAGACAACCAGTTCCCCAGGGACCCCATACTACAGTTTGTTACTCAGCATCCGGTGATATTTCCTACAATCACCGCGTCCACACCACTTACTCCTGCAACAACGATCTATACGGACGGGTCAAAAACCGGGATAGGGGCCTATGTGGTCTCAGGTATGCCTCCGATCAGCATACAATTTGAACCAGATCAACCACAGGTGGTAGAGTTACAAATTGTACAAACCGTCCTCGAGAAGTTCCCAGGGGCCCTTAATATTGTTTCTGATTCAAAATACGTTGTTAATGCCATGCAGGTCCTTGAGACTGCGGGCCCGATTAAGCCAACTTCCAAAGTGACTAATTTGTTTTTGTCTATCCAGACTCTGCTGATAAATAGACACAACAAAATATACATCACTCACATAAGAGCACATACGCGCCTGCCAGGGCCCATGGTACAGGGCAATGCGGCAGCTGACGTGGCCACTCGCCCGTTGTGGATACTCAATATGTTATCTTCAATAGAACAAGCCCGTCTGTTTCATGACAGATTTCATGTCAACGCCAGGACGTTAGCCAACCAGTACCACATTTCCAGGGCTGACGCGCGGGACATCGTACGGTTATGCGGCTCTTGCGCCACATACACACCCGTCGTGTCAACGGGAGTTAACCCCAGGGGATTGATTCCTGGCGACACTTGGCAAATGGATGTCACACATATGATAGAATTCGGATCTCTTAAATATGTTCATGTCTCTACGGACACCTGCTCTCATATTATATTTGCGACTGCTGAAACTGGCGAAAAGGTGTCTCATGTAATCAATCACTGCCTGACAGCTTGGGCCGCATGGGACAAACCAAAAATATTAAAAACTGATAATGGACCAGCTTATACAAGCAGAGCCTTTAATGAGTTCTGTGAAAAAATGGGGGTACAGTTAAAACATGGCATCCCATACAATCCCCAAGGTCAAGGAATTATTGAAAGGGCTCATAGGAGCCTTAAAGATATTCTACAAAAACAAAAAGGGGGAATAAGTCAGGGCCTGCCCCCAAAGGCACGGCTCTCCATGGCACTGTTCACATACAATTTTCTGAACCTGAATAACAACAATCACTCCCCGGCCATGGAACATTGTAATCCATCTCCTGGCAATAGGGGATGGGTGAAATGGAAAGATGTCCTGACGGGACAATGGATGGGCCCGGATCCAGTAGTTAGCTGGAACCGAGGTGCGGTTTGTGTTTTCCCACAGGAACCAGGACGAGAACCATTGTGGGTCCCAGAACGGCTGACGCGCGTGGCGAATCCAACGAAACATAATGCAGGAGACACTCCAAAACTCAACGGCAGCGGACAGCCTAATCAAGATCGGTCCGACCAGGATATTGCTGCTCGACCGAGGAATACCGTATGACTTATGGGACACAGTAATGATTATGCTCTCGATAGTAATTGGCTCTCTTTTAGGGTACGGTGCAGCCAGAGTGGCTAGGCCACGCCGCCTTCCGGCAGCCCCCTTCCTTCTGGTTTTGATGCTCACCACCACTACTGAAATAGGAGCAGACTTGGTGTGGGCAGCAATACATCATCCGCCAGCGCTAGCCGCTATCTCCACCACAGCCCCCTCTCTCCCAAAGTTGTATGCAAAAAACTGCTCCGCCAGATTGCCTTGCATACCAGATATACCGTTAACCATCAGACCCATACGTTTTGACCTTCCCATCACCAATGATGTGGTCATTTTTTCCACTAATAGTAACCCCTCGTGTCACCGGGGATCCTGCGTTAGCTTCCTGCCCCTCCTTGTAAAATGGTACAATACCTCCCTGACGGTGAGGTTGTCTGTCCCATCCCTGCATTCGCCTGGATGTTTTAAAGCTGGCACACTTAGCGGCGGAGTCATCACTTTTAACTCAACCTGCAAACCCCGAGCAGCCATGCACACCCGTCCCGATTTCCCCACATGCCCATACCGTGTGTCCCCAAGCCGAAAAAGACAGATGGTGGACCTGTCACAACTTTCATGGCAGCCCTGTACTGTCGACGGCGTGGGAGTGACTCATCTAAACATGTCTTGGTGGTCCCGGTTCTCTCCTCCATCCGGTAGTAACAACATATTCGCGTTGACCTGGTGGGAGTCCTACCTGAGAGTGAACAACAAGTGGGCAATAAGCTTCCCCTTCCCCCTTAATGAAAATTGGTTGTGTCTCTCCACCGGAGCCTGCATGGACTTAAGACCCATGCTCGCTATTAACGCTTCTGCCTCTAATGGAACCACCAATGTCACCCTTAATTCTGAGGCTGCATGCGTAAAACCGCCCTACTTATGGGTATTCTCTGCTGACATCTCCTTTAAGTGCAGTAACCAACCATGCTTTACAGGGAACTGCTGGAATGGGTCTTTCCCGTATGCTATGTTGGCTCTTCGACCCCCACTGATGTGGGTTCCCTTTAACGAATCTGTTTGGGTTCATCCCGTCTATCAGCAGGACCAACTACCCATGCTCAGACGTAAGAGAGATTTTGGGATCACAGCGGCTCTGACAGCACTGTTCGTGACTCTGACTGCGACGGCTGTGACGGCTGCCGTTGCTCTGACCCAGTCTACGCTGACGGCTCAGGCCTTTACCAATCTTACGGACACCACCTCCCTGGCGCTGAGGGAGCAACAAGAAGTCAACCTCCTCCAGCACAACGCCATAATGGCGTTACAGCAGCAGATCGACCTAATCGCTCAGGAAGTCCAGGGACTCTGGGAGGTGGCTAACAATTTATGTGACGCCAGATGGGCATTCACCCAGTTGTGCGTTACCCCCATCCAGGTCAACCGTTCGGCTTACAGGCAATTTCAAGATTATGTTCTCACCACCTATAATTCTTCCTTTTGGAACGCTAGCGTGCGCCTGGATATGACTATCCGGCAGCTAGATCAGATAGAGGTGCCTATACTTACAGCCTCCTTTTTTGATGATGTCCTAAGCCAGATAGGCTCTTTCTTCAAACCTTCGTCACTTCTTGCGTATGGGATCATTCTTGCTCTTGTGGCTGTCACTCTCGTGACTCTTAGGTGCCTGCGGTCGATAAGGGCGACCCAAAAGACACATATGACATTGATGATGTTGCTGGCCCAGAGTCAAGGGGATTCCACACCTAGCGTTTTCTGGGCTCAGGCTAGAAAGGCACGGCTCCTTTAACCAGTACGTGGCTGCCCTCGCCATTATTCTTACGGATGTTCTAGTATTATTACGTACGTCTCCTTCCCCGTCGCGGCTGCGAACTTAGACTAGAAGGACCCCACGCTTAAGGCGTGTTCCCATTGATAATTAGAAAATAGTAATTAGTGATTGTAGTGAACGGGGATTATGGTTGGTAATTAGTGATTACGCGGTTCCTCAAATGTCACTCGGCAGACCCCTCCGTGTCTCCCCCAAGATATAAGCTTTAAGAGTTGAGTGGGCAAGCCAACGACGGGTAAGACGGGAGAAGTTCTCCTGATCAACCTAAGACAGGCTCTACTCCGAGGGTCCTCTAGGGAGTAAGAGTTATGGCATTGAGATGCGAGACCAAGGGTACTGCAGTGCCATCCGCCTCAAGGGTTGAGGGGAAGGCAGGAATGAATGTCTATATGCATCCAGGTTCGGTTCACAAAAGCCTGGCCCTGCGAAAAAATGAACCACTCACCTTGAGCATGGTCCTGGCGCAAGGATATGTACGAGACAAGGTGATGCACAGCAGGGTATAGACCTCTACATTCTCTCATGCCTCGGCCTGCGAAATAGGCCCACTCCCAGACACCTCACATGGACCCACAGACCACACTATCTTAATAAATAAAGAAGGGGGAGATGTTGGGAGCCTGGCCGAGTGATATGAGGCCTGTGGTGAGGAGTGAAGCCTGAGCTAGATTGCCCCTCCCGTCGACCGAGTGATATGAGGCCTGTGGTGAGGAGTGAAGCCTGAGCTAGATTGCCCCTCCCGTCGACCGAGTGATATGAGGCCTGTGGTGAGGAGTGAAGCCTGAGCTAGATTACCCCTCCCATCGAGTATGCCAAGATGGCGCCCATTTCCTGCTCCCTAGCTAGTAAACAACACGCCCTGTAAGCTAGTCTGCCCAGCAACAGCTGACGCTGGCCAATCAGCTCGTCTTGCCTACTTTGATGTGATTGGTCGAGGTGTCCATATATATGCTGACACCACCCCTGGGGCGAGAACACACACACACACCAAGAAGAGGGACTGCTGAGAGAAGCACACAAGGAGCCGTAGGGAACGGACCAGAGGAGGCTTCCCTCAGGCGGGATCCGAGATCCCGGAACAGGGCGTACGGAGAGAGAAAATAAACCAGAGGCTATCCGCCGACTACTCGTGTCGTGTGTTTTTTCCTGCTGGCCGGGAACGACACCGACAGCCACTGTCTGTTTTTTCATGTCATGAACATTTTGTAATCTGCTCCTAATATCTTATATATATTCTTTTTCTGCTTGGTTAGCCAGAGTTTTACATCTTATGATAGCAGTTACCCTTACTGATACAAATTAATTAATTCTGTTAAAAATATAAATGAGGAAATGAAGGCTGTTATCCATAAAATAGAACCAAAAGATGAGACATAATTATGCAGAAAAAAATAGAATAAAATTGAACCTTATTCCAGGAGAACAAACTTCCAACAAAAATGTTTCAGAAAGAGATAATTGAAGAAATAGAGAAGAAAAAATTCATCAAAGAAATAATAAAAGATTTCTCTCCTTTGGAGGCTGAGATTTCTAAACTGAAATGATAATAATTCTGATTAGAGATGAATGAATGGCTTCATCTTCAAGGAGAAAAAAAGTAACGGATTTAAGTGTTTGGTTCACATTTGAGTTGGATAATTATGGATAAGACACATCAGAGAGTTGGAACATTTGAAAAACTTTGAACAAGTACATATACAAGCAATGATAAATAATCACTAAACTTTAAGGGGGAAAAACCTTTATTAGGAAAATAGAAAGTTGTAAGTACACTGAAATTCAATTGCAGTGAATTATTTAACCTAGAGATAAATAATTGCAAAATTAAAAATATAAACATTGTTGTTTAGTAAAAAAAAAAAAAATGATTCAGTAGAGAATACAGAGAAGAAACATGGTGGAAAATTGAGTTTGATAAAACTAAATCCTACCTTAGAGGAAGTCACCAGATAATGCATAAAGTAGATAAACCAAGAAATAAACATTACCCTATTATTTAGAGAAATAAGATTGCTTTCCAGAGGGCATAATTAAATATGTTGCAGTAATTGCCTCTCAGGTGTCTGAGGCAGACATTGCAGATGACAAGTTTAAGCCTTTTAATACTATTTCATTTAATCCCTAAGGAATATTATGAATACATAGAAATTTGTTTAAATGGACTTTCATCACATACAGAGTTCCCTTAAAGGTAACTTTTATGTGCCTGCAGGCAGAGAGATAAAGACTTACTTGTCTGTCTGTTTGTACAAGACCACCTCAGTTTCAGTTTCCTCTTCTGCTCTCCGCGCCCCCCCCCCCCTTTAAACCGGATATCCCCTGCCCTAGGAAAAGGGAACTCCCAGCTGAAAGGCAGAGATGGAAATAATGTATTCTTTGTGTTGGGGCTTTCCAGTTTTCAGGTCTTAATGTACGAGTTATTGAAAAACAGATTTGATTCAATTTAAGTGTTTCATTACTCATTGATTTCATGACAATCCAAAATCATGTTGTAAATTGTTAAAATAAAAGAAAACATTATTGAAAGGTTCTTGCTCTAGTATAAATTATTTTACAGTTATGGCAATGGGCTAACATGGCGGAAGGCCACAGTGGGAGCCTTTACTCTGAAGGCCACTCCCTGCTTCTTCCCCTTGGCCCAAATTGTTGCTTTCTTTCCTGTTTGCCCACAAGGAAAATTCCAATCATTTCCTCGTACATCATCAGTCCCCACCATCAATGCCCCTTCCAGTAAGAGGCCATATAACCCTCTGCCCCTCTGTATGCAGTCAGAGGAGAAAGCTAACCCCTGGGGGCTGTGGGCTCCTTTCCATGTCCTCACATAAAAAGGGCACTTTCACTTTCTCTCTCCTTCTGCTTCTCTGTTGCACCAGAAAACTCTAATAATTATTATCTTAATAATAAGGACTAAATATTATTGAAAGGTTCATGTCTGCAATAGGTATTTTACGTATGTCACCTTATTTATTCTTCATAGTAATTTTATGAATTAAAACTATAATTCCTCTCATGTTTATTGGAATGATGACCAATATTGTCTTTGGGTTATGGTGGGAAGATTACTTGCTTTTTCTTTTTTTTAGATCGTTGTTTGAGATGGTGCCCTTAAAGGATTGGCATACTTTAAAAAGTCAGGATGTTGTGGAATCCTTAACCAGCGTATGTATCTTACAAGCCTGATATTCATGATTCCTATTTGTGTTCAAGAAACCTTTTCCTGAAATGTTAGTCTTAGATCAAGGATCCAGGGTGCAGGTAGGTTGCCCTTTTGAAAATCTGTGTTGGATTAAGCTGTAACACAGAATCACTTAGATTATGCTGCAGTACCTGGTGTGAGTACTGCAATTCTTTCTTCCTCTGTCAGGAGAAACAAAGAATTCTTACAGTACTCTGTCAGAGTTTGAGCATGACTTCAGGATTTCTTTGTTTTTGTTTTTTACAATTCATGACTTGAAACAGCAGCTCCTCATCACATAGAGTTGATGTGAAATCTGTCTTCTTTACTCTATGAGGTCTTTATGAATTGCAATACTTGGTTCTAAACATCAGCATTCTAGTGATAGTTGGCATCACCCCAAATAACTATATATATTGCAAAGTGCTTTTATATGTATTGTTTTATTTTGTCATATTTGTTTTTATTTTGTCAGCATGACAATCCTCACTTATAAACATTTATTACATGCTACACAGTCTGAAGCATACAAAATTTAACCTTTCAAGATAAGTATTTTTATACCCATTTCTTTTCTTCTGATTTTATTTATTTATTTATTTATTTATTTATTTTGGTACTGGGGACTGAACTTGTGATCTCATGCTTGCCAGACAGGCACTTAGGCCACTGAACTAAATCCCCAGCTCTTGATTTAATTTATGAAAAAAAAATTTCATAACCAAATAATAAGAGAATAGCAATAGCTATTACACTGTGTAGCACTGTCTTCAAATTAGTTATTCAGTAAAAACATAAACTGCAAAGCCTTACAAAAGAAACATACAGATAATAACACAAACTTTTCAAATATAACTATTTATAACTATTATAACTTTATACCAAAAAGGATCACAGTCATTCATAATTCCCATACCTCCATCCCAAAATAACTGCTTCCAGTATTTTAGTGCCTTGCTTAAAAGAGATTTTTATTTAAAAGAAAATAAAACAACTATAATATATCATGAAAAGTTCCACTTGCAGAAAAATGAGGAAAAAAAAAGGATTGGAAAGTAAAATTTCAATAGAAATTCCTGAAATCTAATTTTAATGCATAGATGAAACAAATTAGTATATGTTATATCCATTTTGTGGGTGAGAAAATAAACTCAGAGAAGTGATTTGACTTGCATAGGTCACCAGTAGGTAAATAGCTAACTTTGAACTAGAATTTGGATTTCCTGCAGGGCAAGTTCTCGGTTTCTTTCAAACACTACAGATGCCTCTAGATTTCCAGCCCTGGAACACATTCCAGTCCTTTAGCTAAGTGCCTGGTATAACATTGTTCTCTAGGAATTTTATACTTGCCTACGCTTGTAAGTTCCTTCCCTTTGTGTATGTGTGTACAAGTACACACAATATTCACATCTTTTATGTCTTTAAAGCTTATCTGGGTCTCCTTTTTAGTCAGTCACAAAGTTTGATAGTCATGGATGCGCAATTATTTTTCTTATGCGACCCAGCTCTCTGTCTGTTGAAAGCTATTATGTCTCTCTGTCTCTCCCTCCCTCTCTCTTACTCTCAATATCTACATATAGAAAGATTTATTTATAAAATTCTAGCAGTGATTTTGCTGACAGCTGCTTAGTATAAGTAAAGGGTATATGGATGCCTAACCTTATATTAACAAAGAATTGAGATGAATAAACATGCACTCAGCCTTCCTTCAATTTTCTGGATTGCATCGTTACCATATTATATCAGAAGAATTTGAATCCTTACTTAAAAGGTATATTTTAAAATGAAAACATGGTTATTATATCTAATTTTCTGTCTCTCTCATCTCAAAGTTTTCTAGTCAAAATTAGATTTCAGGAATTTCTATTGAAATTTTACTTTCCAATCCTTTTTTTCTTTCCTCATTTTTCTGCAAGTGGAACTTTTCGTGATATATTATAGTTGTTTTATTTCCTTTTAAATAAAAATCTCTTTTAAGCAAGGCACTAAAATACTGGAAGCAGTTATTTTGGGATGGAGGTATGGGAATTATGAATGACTGTGATGTTTTTTGGTATTTTTTATATTTTGTAATTGGGAAGAAATTTACATAAAATGTACTTTATTTCAGTGATTTCTCTGAGACCAGGCTTCTAAAAATGGAAATTAGTATCTGCACTAAAATATACATGTCATGGTATTTCAAAGCTATAATATTTTTATATTATATGAACACATACAATGAAATAGAAAGTAAAACTCAGGTGAATTTTTAAGTGATGGTACTGTTAGAGATATTTGCAAATCTGATTTGAGCTATAGCTGTAACTACTTTTCTGCTAGTAATTTAGAGGTTGGAGGAAAATTTGGAGAAGCAGTGAGTGTAAGGGATGTGCTCATCTAATAGAAGTGTTGTACACACAATTTGTGTACTGAGAAGAGAGGGAATAACAATCTGTGTGATTCCCTTCAAGTCTAAGACTTTCTAAAGACCTATGTGGAATGCTGGGCCTTAAAAAAAAAAAAAAAAAACACGGCGGAATCTTAGATTTCTAGTTTTGTAATGGTTCCCCCTGGGGAAGCTTATTTGTGCTTGCTGGCATCTGTTTACACAGGGACTTTTTCTTCCATAAATGACCGGGTCACGAATGAAATGATGCTCTTTAAGCCAAAATATCTGTTTCCTTTTCTTTTGCTGCAAAAAGTTTATTATATTTTCCTGTATGTCCAAGACAGAGACCACTCCCTAGCTGATGATTATAGAGTTTATATCTTATATTTAAATTTCATACTCTGCCAAAATTGTTTCTTGGTTTTCAATCCATGACCCATCGTGTATCCCCAGAGCACAGGAAAGCATAAGTACTTGTGTTGGTGGATTCCCTACATCCATGCCTAATTCCCTGATGCCTTGGGAGGACTCTTGGAGTTCATTGTATAGTTTTACTGATGGGTGTGATTAATAACAG